AAATTTTAGCACCAGATCTTGGTTTCTACTATCATTTAAAAAAAAAAAAAAAAAGGAACCAGGACTCTTTTGAAACGATCAGCACATTTCTAACTTTTCCGCTCTGGGAACATACAACTTTTTAATTTAGAAACTGTAAAAAATATTTCCGAAGCACAGATCTCAGTCTGTCTCCAAGCATGTACAGTCCAGAACCACCGCTGTTTGCCCTGCACCCGCCTCTTGGGGTTTAGGAGAGGGTCTTCCTTTAAGGAAACCCTCCCAGCATGCAGCTCTGGGGCTGGAAAAGACAGCCACAACCCCTATTTCTCACGCTCCTCTTCCACCAATGGGGATTCTATTTGCGGATTCAAAAGACACAGCCAGGCCTAAATCACAGCTCCAAACTGCTGCTCAGAAGCCCTCGGTGACTGTTCACAGCCCATAGAAGGAAAAAGAAAACCAATTCCGCTAAGACATCAGCCCTGCAGTCACGGCTGCATCCAATCTTGCTCCCCCCCACCCTTCCTGTTCCATTCCTGCCATGCACACGCAGCTCCCACATATACCTGTCCCTCCACATCAGCCCTCCTGTCCACCCCCCGGGTCCTTACCCAGCCAGCTCCACACGCCCCAGGGAGTCCTCTGTCCTGCTGTGTGCCCAGCACCTGGCATCTGCCAGGCAAACGGCCAAAACCCTGTAAACATTCACTCATGTTCTTCAAACATTCACTCATGCTGCTTCCTCAGGGGGTCTTTCCTTAGTCCTCTTCCTTGCTTACTTGCCCATGCCCGGGAGTTGACACCTTAGCCCCACGTGTCACCGTCTCCTCCCCACCCGGCCTGTCCCGGAGAGCTGCCAGCCCTGGGGAATGAAGCCTGTCCCCTTCACACCGTGAGCCTCCCTAGGCTCTACACAGAATGAGGGCTCCATGAGGCTGAAGTCTCCCCGACGTCTGAGCCTGGGGGTGTCACTCGGAAGCTAATGTGGGGACCGGGGATGGAGGACTGGTTTTTCGTTTCATAGAGGATGGAGTGAGGGGCTGAGCCTGGTGAGAGCTGGAGAGCTGCCTATCAGCTCCGTGCCTGGAGAGGACAGGCAAGGGAGGAGCAGGAGTGGGGCTTCCTGAGGCTCGTGGCCACAGAGGAGGCGGCGAGGACAGCCTCAGGAGCCCTGGTCTGGGCTTCAGGACATGACATCTGGCTCCGAAAGGCTGCTATCCTGCCTGGCCACTGGAGCCACACATTTCAGAGACAAATGTGGGTTATGATTCAGGAATGACGTCATCCTGGCAGGTGGCCTTGGGGAAGTCTCCTCAGTGTCCTGAGCCTCAGTTTCTCCAACTATAAGATAAAGGGGTAGATATGATGACCTCCAAGCTCCTTCAGTGTGATGCCTTTGGAAGCCCCAGAAGAACTCAGAAAGGGGGTGAGAGAGCTGGGGAGATGGAGGGTGACCTGCGTTCTAGCTCAAGTGCCAGAGCACACTTCACAGCCCAGCTCCTCACGGCCCCACAACCTGCCTGCCCCTGACTGCAGGGCAGAAGCTGTCCATCTGATGTTCCTCGAAATCTTTGTCCAGAGCCCTGGCTTCCCAGCTTTGATCTGCAGAACCATGAGGTGCCCAGAACTCCTGGAAGCAGAGGGGCCTCCAAACCCCCAGACCACAAACTCAGCCTGAAGCCTATGGAGAACGATGTCTTGCCAAAGTTTTGTCCGTTTTCTAAGAACCTGTAATGATAGTGATTAATAAATGCAAATCCTTCTGAAAGGACTTGCTAACTCACACAGCCAATGGCCACTGTCTATTTCCTCAGCACAAGAGCACTCTACAGTACAGTTTTGTTAGGAATTTGGTTTTTTGTTTTGTTTTGTTTTTGTTTTTGTTTTATAAAGCTATCCTTGACAGAGGGGTGAATGCTGGAGAGATGTGATAAAGCAAAATAGGACTCAGAGGCTCTCAGTGGTAAGCAAAGGGTGTTCAATGTACATTTCTCCCCATTTTACCATAATTTTACATTTTTTAATTAAAAAACGGGGGGAGGCTGTGTGCAGTGGCTCATGCCTGTAATCCCAACACTTTGGGAGGCTGTGGGAGGATCACTGAGGCCAAGAGTTTGAGACTAGCCTGGGCAATGAAGAGAGACTCCATGTCTACAAAACATTTTAAAAAATCAGCCAGGCATGGTGATGTGTGCTTGTAGTCCCAGCTACTTGGGAGGCTAAGGCAGGAGGATCGCCTGAGCCCAGGAGTTTGAGGCTGCAGGGAGGCATGATCACACCACTTCACTCCAGCCTGGGTGACAGATTCTGTCTCAAAAAAAAAAAAAAAAAAAGAAATAGAAGCTGGGGAAAGCAGTCCTGCTCCTCATGGCTGGGAACCTGCAGCTCACTTGGCAACTGCTCCCCCTGTGACTCCACAGTGGAGCCGCCTAGGGACCCTTTCAAGGGCGCCCCTAACACAGAGCTATGAAAAGAGGTTAACTAGGGACCGTTTCAAGGACACCCCTAACACGGAGCTGCAAGAAGAGGTTAAAGGGGAAGCAGAGGTCCAGCCTGCAGGGATGAAGGAGCTAGGGCGTGACTCATCTGCGAGAACACAACAGGTGGAGGTCACCGGGCCAGCGCAGGAGGGGCGCTGCTCTTTCCCCGGGGAAGACAGGCAAGGGAGCAAGACCAGCAACGGTGAGTTTGCTCCCCACTGCGGGGTCCGTGGTGGACCCCATTTCGTCCCAAAGCCTGCCTCTGGGAGCTGTTCCGGTCTCCAAGCCTATGCTGGGAGGGAATTCTAAGAATTAGCCAAAGGGAAAACCCTGCAAAAGCTCGCGGTGTCCCAAGTCCTCGACAGGAACACCTCATTTCAACATCTCAGCACGTCTGGCAGGCCGTCCTCATCATTTCATAGGTGGGGCCGGCCAGGCGCAGGAAGGTGAGGTCCCTTGCTGAAGTCTCACCACGGCGCAGGACAGCCGGGAGAGCAGGTTCCCTGGGCGAGAGAATGTTCAGGGGAGGGAAGGAGCGGCTGCAAGTAGTGCCCAGGTGCCCAGGGTCCCCACGGCGCAGGTGTGCCGAGAAGTTGTGCCCGCCAAGCGGCAGCGCAGCCCACAACATGCAGATTCGTTCGGGGCCAGGCCAACTGAGGGGGCCGGGCAGGTGAGCGCACCGCGAAGGGGGCGCCCAGCGGGCGGGGGCGCTACCTGGGTCGTGGAAGGGCACCAGCGCGTAGTTGACGATGGCCTGGCTGCGGCGGCTCAGGCTGCGTTCGAGAATGCGCGAGGCGCCGTCGATCACCTGCATCAGGTCGTCCCACATGGAGCCAGTGACGTCGAAGACGAAGGCCAGGGTGGCGTCCCCCGCGGTGGGGAGCATCGCCGTCCCAGGCGCTCCTGCCACCACCGCTGCCGCAGAGACCGTGGTCAGCAGCCTCAGGAGGCGCGCCCCGGGCATCATGCTGAGCGCGGCTCTGCGGTAGAGGCGCAGGTCGGAGCGAGAACGGTCGCCCCGTGCACACAGCAGCTGCAGCCGGTGCCTCTCTCCGCGACAGGAGCCAGTGCGAGGGATAGGGGCACACACGCGGTGGGTCCCCCTGCTGGGAGCCCGAGGCGGGTCCTAGAGCCCACCCCGTTCAGGGTCACTGGCCCGCCTCCTCCGCTCCCCCCACCATGACTCAAACTTTCCCAGCCCCACTGTTCTCCCGTCCAGATCCGAGGTTAGGGGAGGACGCTGGGCGGACGGCAGAAGGGAGCTGGGGCCCCAGCCAGGGCGGCGAGGAATGGGGACATGCAGGATGCAGTGGACACCTGCGCCTCCCGCTGATGGCACGCCACGCTGCAGGGGCGGAAGAGAAGGAGGGGGAAACGCTACCCTCCAACCCCAGCTCCCCCCACCCCTGCCTGGCCAAGGCGGACCCTGGCTTCTGCAGTTCCCTCCACCCAGTGCTGCCACAACATCCCCCACCCCTGCCCCTTAACACACACACAAACTCCGCCATGCCTTTTCCTTCTACTGGGTGGGCTCTCTGCTTCCCGGTTATTGCAATCATTACTGTTGTTATAATCAACAAGAAGTCTTGTTGTTAATCACATTCTAAGCATTTTCAGTTATTCGCTTGAAGGCTGGTGGCAACCCTAAAGTGAAACACGACCCCTAAACCCATTTTACAGATGAGCAAACTGAGGCTCCGAGAGGTGAAGACATTTGTCCCAGGTCACTCAGTTCTCAAGCAATGAAGACAAGATTAGAGACCAGATCTAGAAAGACTCCAAAGGCCCAGGCTCTGCTGCCTCCCTTGTGTTAAAAGACATTGTCACCAGTCACCTGGTGACTCCAGAAGATAAGGGCTACCCTCCTGCCCATCCACCTCCCCAGCCCCATGGGCTGCTTGTGTGGATGCTGTGTCCCACCTGAGGTGCTTCCCCGGGCTGGGTTCAGTCTCCGGCCCCCCACAGCGCTGCCGCAGATCCAGATGGGCTCAGGCATGGCTGCTCATCTCAGGCTGTGTTCTCGGGACCTGTTTCACGCCTCTCTCCCCACTGGCCTATGAGCCACTTGAGGGCAGGGCTGGTCCTTGGTCTATACTGGATGAGCCCCCAGTTTCCAGCCCAGACCCAAGCACGTGGTGGGGAGTCACTAATGTTGCCTAAGTAAACAAATGGCAGCTTTTGTGGATATGCCTGGTTTTGAGTCATGTGAGAGAAGGTAGCTAACCCCCTCAGTCCCTCCTCTCAGAGCTCTGTGCTCCCAGAGACATGGCTGAGGGCACTGGGTCTGTGAGTCAGGGCTGGCAGGGGCTTTCTTGAGCCCCTGTCCCCTTAGAGTCCTCAGCCAGGAAGCCCCCCAACCTAAGCTCCTCTTTCCCCCATGGTCTCAGCTCAGACTTGTCTCTGAGGCTGCTTCTCAACCCCTGACTTGCAGCTCACATTTCTCTGAGCTCTGTCCTGGCTCTGACCCCACGCATGTCATGTCTGTGGGTCTGCCCCTCCCACTCTGACCGTAAGTTCTATGGCAGAGACGCTGTGCCTGGCATATGGTAGGTTCCTAAGGAAGGTCTGCCACCTGAATGGGGCAGCAGGCATCAGAGAAGCTTGGCAGCTGGGCGTTGGCCACAGTGGGAAGCAGCACACATCCCAGGGACTCCGTTCTAGCCGACAGCTGGGGTCCCAGGGAAATGGTCTCCCACAGAGCTACCTGTATCGTGGGATAAAGTGTGACCAGGCGCCCAGACCCAGCAAGGGAGTGGAACTTGCACCCACCCAAGTTCAACGGAAGCTGAGTCACCTGCGCCTCTGAATGCTGGCTCTTTAAATCTCCCTGGGCTAAGTCTGTGATTGCCCCCAGAGTCTGGGCAGGGCTGGGCCAGCTGTTGGAGAGAGAAGAGAGGCCCCAGCTGTGGGGAGGCAAAAGCCAATGGGAGCCAGGAACCAGCCAGGACTCACAAAGGGTGACATTCCAGGCACAGTGCAGTGAACATTTGGGGACAAACGTCCTTCAGTCATTCACACCACAAAGATTTGCTGAGCCCAAGCTGTGGTCAGGCACTCTGGTAGGCAGTGAGAGCAGCTGGCGGGGTGGGGGAGGGGGAGATGAAGATGCAGAAGACATGCTTCCTACCCCAGGGAGAAGAGACATGTAAACAAATAATTCTAAGTCAATGAGATAAGTGCTAATAGAGGAATTACCAAGAGCTCTGGAAGCTCAGAGGAAGGAGTGGTTGAGCCTAAGAGGTCAGAGGAGGCCACAGAACGAGGCTGAGAAGTCTTAAAGAACAAGCAGGGAAGGGTATTTGAGGAAGAGGAACAGCATGTGCAAAAGCAGGAAGATCTGAGATCCCAACTGGCAGGCAGTCCTGCATAACCAGCCAGGGGATGGCAAGCAGAGGACAAAGCCCAGATCACAAAGGACCTTTGGTATCTTGCGAATGCACTTGGGGTTTCTCTGAGGACACTGGGGAGCTGCTAAAGAAGACAGGCCAGGAAGCCACCTGATTTGATGTGCATTTCAGACAGGTCACAGCAGAGAAGCTCAGAGGTGGACCTTGCAGATGCCAGGAAGCCACAAACCTACTCAAGGACGTCAGGGCAGAGCTGGCCCCAAAGAAAGCAAGCAAGATGCCTCTACCCAAGCTGGTCACCAGGGACAAATGGAACCATGGATTTGGGTCCTGAAACAGCCTGACTACCTGGAGCAAAGCCCTCTCCTCCCTGCAGCTGGGTCTCTTCATTCATAAAATGATTTTGAGACGGAAGGGAGGCTAACAAGATGACCTTTGATGTTTCTTGCAGGCTTTCCTCTCTGGAACCACCACCTGGTCCCTCAGAGACACAGGAAAGGTACGAGGGAAAGTCTAAGCTCATCTTGGCACTGCTTCCCCCACCTGCCAGGGAAGAGAGGCTTGTGCAGGCATCCGTCATCTGTCTGCCATAGCTCCATCAAAGAGTAATGTCTGGCCTGATCCCAATGCCCTCCAGGGTGACTAGAGGTGCTGCCCCAAGCACCATCCTCTTCAAGTGCTCAGGGCTTCCCAAGAATGTAACCATGATCGCACATAACCAAAGTGAGCAAGGCCTGCAGAGCAGCCCTGCCCAGAGAAAACACACCTGAACCTCATGCATCAACTTCATCCCACCACCTTGACTTGACAGCAGGCTGCCTGAGAATCCCACATTTTTCCTCTGTTTCTAGAAGAATTGGTCTCAGGGGAGGTGTTTCCTAACACAGCACATTTGCTGCAGACAGCCATAGAGAGCAAGGATGTGCTGTGGGCTGCCACTTAAAGGAAGCATGCATGGAGACTGCTCAACCTGCCGAGTTCAGCCCTGGCTCACAAACCCAGTTCTGCAGACTGTGTCTGCACTGGGGATCGGTGTGCAGAGGGGCCGGATCAAAACCCTGGAATCTGAACACATGGTCAGTCCAGGAAAAATGACTCCTCTCTACCAGTGGCCCTTCCTTCCTCTTCCCTATGCCCTGCTCCCTAAATGCTTCTAGTCTTGGCCACATTAAATCTGTGATTCTAGGCTAGACGAGGTGGCTCACGCCTGTAATCCCAACACTTTGGGAGGCCAAGGTGGGTGGTTACCTGAGGTCAGGAGTTCGAGACCAGCCTGGCCAACATGGTGAAACTCCACCTCTAGTAAAAATACAAAAATTAGCTGGGTGTGGTAGGGGGGACCCATAATCCCAGCTTCTTGGGAGGCTGAGGCAGGAGAATCTCTTGAACCTGGGAGGCAGAGGTTGCAGTGAGCCAAGACCGCACCACTGTACTCCAGCCTGGGGGACGGGGAGAGACTCCATCTCAAAAAATAAAAGTAAATAAATAAATCTGTGATGCTAACATCCCCCCACTCACTTCATCCCATCCCAGCCCTCGTCCTCGGGGAATCTGCTCTACTCCTCTGAGAGAGTAAAAACACCAAGGGTGGAGAGGAAGGCAGAGCCTCGAGGAAGGCCAGCCCTGTACTGACCCTCCTCCTGCGCCCCCTCAGCAAACTTTAATGTCAACATCTCTTCATGGAAGGGATGAGACAACTGAGGCTTCGAGAGGTGACGTCCTGTGTCCGGGTTGGGCTGTGTGTTGGCATGTCCCTTCCCACAAGGCCTGTGACCCACTCCACCACTCTGTGCAGGTGGAGTGGGGCAGTGATTTGTACAGGAATCCCATCAGGCAGCACTTCTTCTAGAACTAACCAGGAGCTTGGTGTCTTCCCCAGGCATTCAGAGTCCTCTTGAGCAGTTCCCTAGCCTGGACTCAGACTCAAGCTTCAGACGTTAAGCACTGGAATGCTGGAATAGTCACAGCCTACTCATGTGTCACCAGAAGGCCTGGGCAAAGAGAGGAGGCAGACAAATTACCCAGGGAATGAAGCAGGGGCTTCTGCCCTCCCAGGGCCTGAGAATTAAAAACAGTTTCAAATCCTTGTTTCGCTCCACTAGGAAAAATTAAATAATTAAGTGGGGGCCTGGAAAACAAGACTAGCAGGAAGTCAGAGGAACTGACAAACAACTGGGAACGATGAAGCTACTGAGGACGGGCCGGAGCAGCCAAGAAGCTAGAATCTGCGTGCCTGCGCCGAGCGCTCCAGGCAGCCAGCACTTGATGATTTACTGCTGAATCCAGTCCCTCCATGGACCAGCCTCCAAGTCACGTGGACCGTAAGGAATGGTTTGAGACCATCCCAAGAAATATTTGGGCAGCTCAAGAGATGCAGGAACTGTTGCCCATCCCCATGTTTCGAGAACAAACAAGTAAAAGCTAAGCCAGGGTCAAGCGCTCCAAGACTCACTCCCAGGCCGGGCCCGGTGTCCCCTGGACAGGGATCATGCCCTACTGAGCCCCTGATGCTGACCTCAGGGGAGAAGGAGCCCGCCTCATTGGCAGGGGGTCATTGCTCACTGTTCAGGCAATAAACTAAGCCTTGTTGTCATCTATGGCCATTTTGTCACCTTTATCATTGTCATCAGTGGCTGGCAAGAATATCCACAGTGAGTTGAAGTTTACTGTCTGTCCTTTTATTCTGTCCTCTCTCTCTCTCTCTCTCTCTCTGTCTCATAATTAAAAATTCCATTTAACCATTATGTGTCTTTTGGCAGACGCCGTTGGCTTCCTACCCTAAATTCTTCCCTACCTACTTCCTGGAAAGCCTGGCTTTCTCTCTGGCTTTCTGGTTCAGGTGACTATTCTTCCTCCATGTGACTTGAGGAAGGTGAACCCTTACCCCTCCCCAAAGGAAATGCTGATGGACTAGGTCACCCTGTGATCCCATTCCCCTTGCCAGTGACCAAGCTAGGAATGGGCATTTGATGCAGCTGTGGCCGATGGGCCATGAACAAGTGTGTGGTAGTGTCTCTCCAAGAGACACAAAGAAGCAGGTCAGAGGACTTCTACTGCCTGGAAGTCTTGAAGTCTTATTCTAAAGCAACAGTAATTAAGACGGCATGGAAAAGGCAAGAGGAAAGATGAAGAAGTCAATAGCGCAGGACAGAGAGTCCAGAAATAGATCTACACATACACAGCCTATTGACTTTTTAAATATTTGTGGGTACATAGTAAGTGTATTTATTCATGAACTACACGAGATATTTTGATACAAGCATGCAAAGCATAATAATTGCATTGTGGAAAATGCAGTATCCATCCCCTCAAGCTTCAAGCATTTATCGTTTGTGTTACAAACAATTCAATTATACCTTTAATCATTTTTGAATGTGCAATTATCATTGCCTATAGTTACCCTGTTGTGCTATCAAATACTACAGCCAACTGATTTTTTTTTTCTTTTTGAGACGGAGTCTTGCTCTGTTACCGAGGCCAGAATGCAGTGGCACGATCTTGACTTACTGCAACCTCTGCCTCCCAAGTTCAAGCAATTCTCCTGTCCCAGCCTCCCAAGTAGCTGGAATTACAGACACGTGTCACCACGCCTGGCTAATTTTTATATTTTTAGTTGAGTCAGGGTTTCACCATGTTGGCCAGGCTGGGT